GTGAAATGTCTCAGCACACGTCCACATATCGCAAGGAATCGATGGGGGCGTTAACTTATCGCAAGAAATCAATGGGACGTTTACCTATCGCAAGGAATCAATGGGGACGTTTGTTTATCGCAATGAATTAATGGAGACGTTTACTTATTGCAAGGAATTGATGGGGACGTTTACAGTGTATCCATGGGGACGTTTACTTGCCGCAATGAATAAATAGTATCGAGCCTGTGCCCACCTATAACAGTACCGGTAAATGTAGATTCTATTGCGACTTTGAGCTGAAGAGCCATGAACCTATAAAAAAACTGAATAAGTTAGAAAGCTGAATCTGCAGTATCCGACAGAGCACAAACGAAACATTCTGTGGCGTTTCTAGGAAATATTAGGTGAGGAGCCGGGCAGGGGTCACAAAACTTTCCAATTTTCACTAGGCCTATGTAAAATTATTTGAAAAAATGAATTTCCTGTGGTTTATTCATAGATTCTACTCCCAGCCAAGATCCGCACCTGTTTACGTTACTATTTTTATATTGGGCCATTAATTATCATTAAATATGCACATTTTTAATCTTTGCTGGCTATTGGCCAAGAAAAAATACATGTTATTTCTATTCCTGTTTTATGCGGTTGATAATGTAGAACAATTTCTGTTATTAATGGAGTTGCAGTCTTATGATTGAAGGTCGTCTAAAAATAGACTACGAAGAAAAAGATTGAAGGTGTGGGCACCTTCTGCCTTATTCTTATATTATATGTTTATAATATACTCGTATACTCTTGCGATCAAATTATTTGTTGTTTGGCCAATAAGATATATTTTAGAATTCGAAAACGAGTATAGGCCGATACCGCTCTCCCGTCTTGTTATGTTACTGATTGTGAATAAAAACTATTTGGAAGACAGGATGGGGTGCTTGTTTAAATTAATAATGACGGAGCCCTTAAATGTATGGAGCTGTGCACCCCCTTACTATTCTGTGGCCTCGGTCCCTCCATCTAATGATTTTTAGAAAACGTCACCGTTGTGTAGACAGGACCCTTGAGATACTAAGTCGGTATCCATGTGAAAAAAAAGTTGTGTCTGTATTTCTTTATCTTCAAAAACAAATAAATATAGTATACCGAAGATTTGGAAAAAAACGAAATGTAGTCAATATAAATAGGCCTATTCAAGGGAATCGATTTCATTCTCCCAAATATATTATAAGACAATTGTCTCCCTTTAACATTGAAATTAAACGCTAAAACTGAGGTTAACAAACTTAGCCTAACACTGTTGATAAACGTTGGCTAATTATCGATAAGGCGATTAAAATTGAAAAACAGGAATTAATCAAATGGAGATTAGTCGGCTTAGAAATCAAGTTCCATAACCTACGTTGAAGCTGATAAAATATTATTAGCAAAATTATGGTCAACACGTCGATTGAATTTGATAGATATAGGACAGGCCTATAAACTCTATAGTTTACGTTTGAAAGCTTGGTTGCTCTTTCAAACCACTCTTCTTTCAAATGTAGCAGTATCTGAATCGACCATTTCTTTTCTTTTTCTGGTTTGAAACATTTGGATGGAGTGGGTAAATGGCCATTAAGTAAAAAATGTTCTTATTATAACTCTATGGTGAGGGATTGAACTGGCAGTTGCCTGAAAATTATACATGATTAAGGGGAACAAACTCTATTTAATGAATTTAGTATCTATTGAAGGGAGACTACTCTATTTAACAACAAGAAAAGGACCACTCCCATTTCAACTCCTCTTCTAATTAATATCAACGATTTGATTCGCACGTTTAAATTAGTCATCATTTTCTTTTGAGGAACAGTTTAAATTATCTCAGAGATAAAACTAAAGTTCTTAAAAGTTCTAGCTCTACGAGAATTGAACACGACTTGTTTAGTAAGATCTATTTTTTCAACCAGGATCACTTTTTTTTTTACCACTAATAGGCTTAGTAAGATCTATTTTTTCAACCAGGATCACTTTTTTTTTACCACTAATAGGCCTAAAGAACAAAACATGAATAAAATAATACGTGTCTATTCCTTTGTTATATCGGTGTCAAAACTAAAATCATTATTATGTAATGTAAACGTTATTGTGTAATGTTTTGGCGGCCGTTTCTAGAAGATCTCAGTGTAAATAGTTCACGTTGCCATATCACTGAAAATGCAGACATCCAATATTAATACGCCGAGACATTTTTGCAATTCCAAGATTTGTGTTTTCATGAAATTTTAAAAAATGCCATCTTTTCATATGCAAATAGAATTTTCAATCTAAAAACTTTGAATTAATTGTAATAATTAATGATTGTCAAAGAAATGCAAAATGTTACTAGAGAACTATATCTGACGCGGAGGCACATCCGTCTAGGACCGAAAATCTTCGATCCAAAGGTCAGCTGAGTGTTTCTCGGCTCCTTTATTTTGTGTTTTCGATCAATTTTTATCGAAATAAAAATTTTGAGATCATGCAGTGAGATGGAATTGGAATAGAGCAAAATGGCAGAACAAGCCTAAAGTATTCTAACACAGAAACCATGGAGAAATGAAGCGACGAAGCCAGCGCTTGTCGTTTGGCATTTCTCCCGAGAATTTGACAGTTGCGGGAGGAAGAAAAAACGAAAAGAAAATGGCTTTGCGTTTGACTTTGAAGGTAGGATTTTTGATTTCTTAGTTAATTTCTATCATTTTCTTCTCTAATTTTGCAATAGACTTAGTGTAGGTTTTCTAACGCTCTTGAAATACTGAAATTTGTAGATGAGGGAGGGAGGTCGAAAGGAATTTGTATCGACCGAGACTTAGCCGGAAGTAAGGTGCTCGCCATTGTAGTCTCGATTATCAGGATGTCAAAATAAAATCTGACGTAATTTTTATACTTTTACTTCTAAACGTGTACTGATAGTTATCTTTTTAACCAATCCTCAATTCCACTTAAAGTACAATTATAATAGACAATCATGGTAATCATTTTAACAACTCCAGCTTTTGCCAAAACTGATAATCAACGTGTGACACATAACAACAATGTATAATCATTTTCAATATTTTCATAAAATGGCTAGCCAGCCTGTTAAGGGGAGAGATCCCTGTTTGGCAAGTATTTTGTTTCTGACACCACTATAGTCATGTTCGAAGTATGAAAAGCTAGCAAGCTTGAGTGTAATTTCCTCGATGGACGGGTTATCATGGCAGAAATCACTAGTTACGAACAAGCCCAGGTTGCTGAGCCACAGTGCATGTAAATTTATAAACCAAAGAGAATCAAATCAAATGATCAAAATTTTCCAGCTTGACTTACAAGTACCGGTACACTATACTAATCAGCTAGTACTGACTATGATGTACTCATTCATAAATACAGCAAGATAATTAGATTTGCGTATTGACAATCATTTCAAGATTTGTCTCGCTGTTATAGGTAAAAGATGAAATGAACCACTTCAAGTTAAAAGTTTCAAGCTTACTGGACTTCTAGAAATTCTTAAATCACTGCAGTATTATTAAGAAAATAAGAAATAAGTTTCTGTGTGTTTTGCACTGTGATTATTGAAGAGGCTTACATGTTGCATAAAACTTAAGCAATTAGTAACATTTATAATTAATGACTAAATTGACCGTCTTCATTCACATAATTTACATTCACCTTGAAAGTTAAAATGACGACTAGTCTTTTCTTATATAGCCATGTTTTCCTAGTTTGAGATATTTTTGAAGGAATTATGCTACTTTTGAAGACTATTTAGATCACAGACCCCTATGATTGGTGTTAATGATGCTATTATGACTTTAGTATTTAACCTTGTGTGAGCTCCAGACATCAGTGCCATTCATATTTGTCTAGACTAGTAAAAAACTCATATCAGTAAATTTCATTGCATGGATATTATAAGTTGATAAAACATTAGCAGGTCACTTAGTGTCAATGACACTTTCACTCTCTGTCTTAATATTCAGGGATAACCTTGACCCCTAACAGCATGTTATTATCACATGGTTAGAGATAGGGCCAAGTTAGGGTTATAGTAAAAAACATCTTTGTCAAACAAGTAAGATGAACTTGCAGTGGCCTTGTAATTTGGCAGTTATTCAAATGTAAACATACAATGATAAAGATTAAATAATCTATAGCCAAACTAAACTGAAACCATGTAATTTAAATCAAAGTAAATGAAATGATAGTTTTACATCCTACATTACTGCATCGCAATGCCATGCAGTGTGCAATGAGATATTTTTTAATGTGTTCAGACTGTAGCACACAGGACTTGGTTTTATTGTCCCATCCAAACAACTTGACACTTGGACCAATGGAAAACTGGTCATGGCCTATGCAGAAAGCTCGGGTTTGAAGTCATCAGCGACCATGTCAGTTTCTAGTTTTAACCAGACATAGGCTCCAAAATAGAAAGAGTTATTCTCAAGCTTCCAAATCTACCAATTTTGATAGAATGTAAATAACCTCAGCTTACATGGTGTTTATTGTAATATGCAGCTATATTTCTGAGAAATTCTACTTCGTTCTAATTGTTTTTTTTTTAATTTAAAGTATTTGAATTATATGGTTTAATTTTAACAATATTATCACTCAACATCCATTAGCAACTCTTAAACATCTGGTGTCCTTAAACGTCTAATGCATCATTAATTGTAAACATTTTCATTAAATGAGAAAATGATAATAAAACAGCAAACAACTGTTACTAATATATAATGTATGCCATGTAACAAAAATGGTTCTAGCCAATTGTACTGATGTTTATTAATAAAAAAAAAACCCTTCACACAATCATTTTGTATGTGGTTTAATGTTATGAATAGTTAATTGCAATCAATGTATTGTATGTACATTTAAATAGATGTGGTGATATTTTCAAATTCAACCTAAATCTCATATGAATTTATAATTTGGATTTAAAGTTGTAATTTAAAAAAAAAAATTGACAATGGATTATCTTACTCTCATGGTATTGGTCTGTAACAAGAAAAAATTAAAGTCATTGTTATGTGTTAAACTCAGAAACATTTGTGCATGGAATGGATGTGTATTAGAACCATACAATGTGCTTACAATTTTGTATTTTTATCATTTCAGATTTGTGAATCATTGAAAAATAGTTGTAGTTTAAATTTAATTTTACGTCGCAAGTACCTTTAAAATGGTGTATGAACATCATCAGTGTTAGATGTCTTTTCTCGTAAACGTTAAACCAGCAAGGAAATTGTCTGGTATAGAAAGACACCTTGTAGTTTTAATGGTGACCGTAGCAGTGACCACCCTGGGTTTATCAAGCCACAGGGTCCAGTTAAATTGATTTAGTTCTATTCATGAAGCACCCAGAGTACAGAATGTCTCTGGAGGCAGCCTTGCCCTCCACCGACTCGGTCCACGCCTGGCTCGGACATCAACTGGAAGTCCGTGGTATAGACTCTATTGTCTATACTCGCTATATAATCAGCCTTTTACAACAGGATTACTGTGAACAGTTCGATTGTGATGAATTGTGGGATGGTATCAAGTACGATCATACTAAACGTCGTGAAAGAAAGGGAGATAAAAAGAAATCTCCCGTTAATGAGGATGAAAGAAGAAAAATGGCTGTATTGGATTGTCTTCAGTCTGTATCCGACCAGGTTGGTTTTAATAAAATTTATATAAATGTTGAACTTCGTAGGGACACAATGGTGGGATACTTCTTCCCTCTGTGTGTGAGGTTGGAATATGTAATGCTATTTTCCAGGTTTTGACGTTTTTTCCCTTGAAAAGAAAAGTCTTATTTTTGAGTGAAAATAAGTCTTGATATTTATCTCCTGATGTGTTTATGAGTTTTGAAATCAATAAGCTTAGAATTTTTTGTGAAACTGCGAATCAATAATTATCAACAAAAATTTCAAACAAAACTTTAAAACCATTAGTCATGGGAATAGCTGATGCATACATAAGATATTTGAATAATGTTGATATTAGATATCAAGTTATTTAATTTAACCCTTGGATCACTGACTGTAAATGAAATATAATGCCATATACCCTGAACTCCAAGTAATAGAAGTAAAAGGTATGACGTTAACGTTAACGTTATATTATGACGTCACTTAGTAACGGCCTGTATACCGACTGCTCGGGTATAGATTGCATTAGTGTTTAAACAGGCCGCAAGGTTTGAAAGGGTTAACAAATACTTAGTTACATGCATCAAAAACAAGGAAGCTGTCAAAGTTGAATTACAAACTGTTACTCTACTTTTTTACAATTTATATTTATGTTGTATTTATTACGTAGTATATTATAATCGGTATATTTCATCTGCATTTGTCTATTTGACTTTGCTGTCAAAGATGAATGAGATATAAGTTCCATATACTTTTTATTATTTAATTAGTGTAAATCTTTAACATTAATACTGGTATCTAAAGACAGTCTTTATAATCTGATTAAATGTGGTAGAAGGTTAGTTAAATAAACATTATAAAACATTGTTTGTATTTTCAGGATTGTGATTTAGAGAATTTAGTTGATGAACTTTGGAAGAGATTGAAAGAACCTAGAATTTCAAAAGGTAATAATGTATGATAATCAGGTCTGGATATCTAGGCACCTGTTAGTCTGATTACAAATATAAACATCAGCAGTGTAATTAGTGCATGAATAATCTTTGTTCAACTATAGATTGAATTCAATTTGAGAAACTGCAAATATAGTTTAATACAACCTGACAATTCTTTTAATGCTTCTACGGAGTTTGAGTTTCAATAGTAAACACACTTCATATGAAAACAGAAGAAGACCGACAAAAACTTCCAGAGTGTCTTCAAGTAATGTTTCTGTAAAAACTTGTTAGACTTTCTATATAGCAGATTATGTTTTTAAACATATTATAATGAACATGTAATGATTAATAATCAATTAAAAAGCGTAGGAGGTTAACTATCTATTTTTTTATATTTCAGAATGTTGTTCTCCTTTGTCTGTTAATATTCAACCAGAAGATAACAAAACTAAACAACATCTAGATGTCACACGCTCACAAGATCCAGCTCAAAGGTAAGACCAGATAATCTAGTTAAATAAGTTTTCATATTGTCATTGTGCATTTATAATGGTAATGAACGTTATAGTACATTTATTACTTTATTTCGAACAAAGAAGGGTACTGCCACTGTCTTGGCAAATATATTTTCTGATTTCAGTGACCATTCATTAGAATGATTTAAAACTCTGAAACATCTTTGGATATTATTATACTGAGCATTTTTATGTGGAAAACATGGCTTCTGGATTCCACATGTCAATTTTTTAAAATTGGAATAATTTTGGAAATTAATGAAGCCATGAACTTCTTATACATACATCTGCTGGCATGACTATTCCAAAGATGACATGGAATCTAATGTCAGAAAAACAAAAACATTAATTTCTAGGTCTGGGTCTATATTCATTGTTGAACCCAAAATTGTGTATTTTTCAGGTACTATGCTGCATTTCCTGCATTGTCTGGAGAAGATTCTCCTTCCTCCATTTCACCATCAGCTTGTGAAGTTACAGTCTGGAAGAAAAATCCTCTCAAAACACCTCCAGTTGGTGCGACGGCGGAGAAACAAGACAACAAAACTGACAATGAGAAACCTAAAAAGAGTACTGGACGATCAGAAATTAAAATTAGTCTAGAACGGTCAAGTCATCAATCTAAAAAACGCTCGAAAAGTATGACAGATACGAAAGAAAGTGATCACAAAACACAGAAAATGGAGAGCAAGAAAAAAAGTTATCCAAAAAGTAATAAACAAAAACAACAAACAAAAATGCAAAAAGTGATCAAGAAACATGGTGGAACTGTTCGTTTTCTGAGTTGGCCGCTGACTTCTCAAAAAATATTTGAAGAAGAGAATGATGGGAAGGATGACAAACAAAAAGAGGCTGAGGCAGAATATTGCAACAAAGTTGAACAGATAATAAAAACGTTATTATTGTCTGGTGTCAGCGGAGACCAAACCAAGAAAAGTTCTGGCATAGACTGGCCAGAGTGGATGCGGGAAGAATCATTAAGCCCAGAGCTACAAGAGAATTTTGAATGGTACACACAGCCCATGGGTGAAATTCTTGTCACACACAGTTCTAGCAAACGTCTTTATAAAAGACACAGTTATCCCCCTTCCCTGTTGCTAGACGATGACACAGATCTGGAGGCCATTTTGGGCCCAATTTTGACCTCAATGACCTCTAGATATACCTTTGTAGATGAAGTTTTTTCTCCTTTGGCCGAAGACACATCGAAAGAAGATGACTTCTTTGAAAACCAAGTGCCTGATAAAACCCAAGTCCCAAAAAATAACCCTTTACCTCAATCCACATGCAAGGAAGAGCAGACGGAATCTGAATCTAGACTAAAAGTCAACCCATTTATGAATGTACTAGACTACAGCAGTCCAACCAATGGCTTATTCATGTTGTTTGACAACCTAGAAAATACCAATGAGAATGCATGTACAGCAGAGGATCTGCCGCCCGAAACGAACGTCATTGGTTCTAATCGCGAGGTTGCTAAAGTTTCAGAAACTACTGAAGCGTGTAAAGAAAACTTCAAAGATGAAGAAATGGAAAAAAACTTGGATTTAGGGAAGAAAAGATTTGAAAGTCTCCTAAATCTGAGTAACAAGGACAGGTTGAATCCATTGGATGGTGAATTTCTAGATGAGGATAGAGAAGTCAGCAGTGCCTGGAATCCAGGGCCCGATTTCGAAGGTGGCGTGGAATCTAATTCCTATACCGATTTGTATGAAATTTCGAGTTGTAGTACATCGTTTGATTCTGATGACGGCACAGATATGTCTGACTTCGAAGGCATGTTTACATTTGATATGGAAAGCGAGGATGATTCCCATTTGAAAGAAGTTCCTTCAAAACAAAATGTGCCAAAATTGACAAACAAGTTGGAAGACCTACATTTTGAAAATGTTAAAGAATCTACCCCGGAATCGCCTTACGGACTAGATGTACCTGAATCTACCTTCTTCACAGAAGAGCTGATGAAGTCATTCAATTCCGTCATCGACAGTCCAAGGAGTTCAGGAGTTTGTTCCGTTCTAGTTGAAAGTCCACGCAACTCTGGCGTATGTTCGTTATTGGTTGAAAGTCCACGGAGTTCAGGTGTTTGCTCCATGTTAATTGATCGGCAGTATCTAACGGAAACAATACACAGTCTTCATGAGAGAATAGATATACAAAGTCCTTTTGCCTCTCTCTCGCCTCTCTCTTTTAATATTTGGTCAGTCAATGCAGATGAACAAGAAAATTGGCAGAGTAAATTTCTTTTACAAGAATTCCTGCATTCTTTTGAAGATGATTTCAAACTGTCATCAGATCCTTGGAATTCCGTCTTGGAGGAGAGTGGCTTGAGATGGAATTTAACTCCAAAAAATGAAGCTGAAAGCGTGAAAGAAAAGGGAAAATCTGGACAGTTGTATCAACTTTGGAATGTAAATACACAAAAGAAAATTCCATGGGCTGGACTGATGTGGAATATGCCGTGTAATTTTGATGTTTGGAGTGTCCAAGATGAGAGTAAAGAAGAACAAGATCAACTTGACGCTGGCTGGAAACCAGTTCGAGACATCGCAGAAGTTGAATTTGAGGGCGGGGAAATTTATTTATCGCAAACTGACGATGCTGTAATTGGAATGGAACTCTTGGAGGAACTCCATAACGAAACACCAAAAGAAAATACCAGAAATAATCTCAGCGTTAATTCGTGGGAAAGACACGAAAGGAGTGTGTCTGACAGTGATATTCATGGACTATGGGGAAAATATGGATCACATAAGCCTGAATTTCATCGAAGTTTTGAATTGATTCCATCGGAAACGTCTGCTTTCACTGATGTAGTACCTGTAAAAATGATGCATGTCAGAAGTGTTCCTAATATGAAATTATCATCACTTATGTCCTTACAATCTAATGACAATCCACATCAAGGGGGTGCCACTGGACAACAGGAATCTAGCGAACATCTTTATTTCTCTAACGAGACGCACTTTCGACCAATCCAAACACCGATTGGAACTCCTCATGAAGAAAAAGTTGAACAACGAAGAGATTTATTCGGTGATGTTGGCTTTTCGACTGGAACACCTTACCAACAGTTCCATCAACCAGGCTCCGTGGAAGAGAAACTTCCGATGTTTCGTCCAAAATTCAAAGTCCAGAAAGACTTGGATAAGTATATCCAGACAGGGCGAAGTTTAGAAGAGGGTTATAACGACAAGAAACAGTCTGGTATTGAAACTGAAAAGACAAAAGTTGCGGGTAACACTGGAGATATTTTTGATACAACTTGCGATGTGGATGACCCTTTAGGAAAAGAAAGTGGATTTGAATCAAATGGAGAAGTTGAAGATTCTAATTTATGTCAAAAAGAAGAATTCGGAGATGATCTTGGATATGATTGGATGGAGGATTCGGGATTGGAAGCGAAATTTCATCATTTGTATTTAGACGATACAGAGCAATATTTGCCAGCCGCGCTGTCCAGTTTGTGGAAAGACAAAATGTCGAAAATAGACAAAGAACATGTTGATTATTCCACGGCTTGGAGTTCAGGGTACGATTTTGACGAAACGCGACCTGAATACAACTATGACTATCTCCAATATTTGCCCTTAGTCAAAGATGGAGAATTGTCTTTTGGCCAAAATCTTAAAAGTCCGTCCAATTATTCTGATCAAACGCAATCGTACAGAAAGTCATCTGCAGGACATATCGACAATCTTCAGTCAGAATTTGCGAATGTGGACATAAACCAGGATGAAAACGAGGAGTTTGAGACTCCAAAAGGAAACGAAGGATTTATGTGGCCCGGTGAAGAAATAAATAAAACTTTGGACGTGACCCCACCCCAGGAATGTGAAATGAAAGAAAACAATTTGAGTGCAAAAACTATGAAAACATTAAAACCGTATGATTTTTGTTATAATGATGAAAGTGAATATATGGCCCGGTCAATACCTAATAGTGTAGATGAACTGAGCCAGTATTATCTAGCCAAGTTTAAAGATGCCAGTGAAAACGTTGATCATCAACCTAGTACCCATGAATTGTTGGTAAGTGAAATATTTTTGAATTTTTGAAGGACTAAAATTACTTAGTGACAGCCAATATGAAAATCTATCATCATTCTAAGTTAATATTGAATGTTCAACATAAAAAGGTAGAATTAATTCCTGGTAAAAGTGAAGATGAAGCATTGCTTTATGAGAGGCCCTCATTGATGAAATCTTGATTTAACGGACTAAACCTGCTTGTGAAAATCAGTTGAAGATATATATCATCATTCTTTTTTAATATTGAATGTTCAACATCAGGGAGAAATTTTTTCGGCAAGAAGTGAAGATGAGACATTTGCTTTGATTTGCATTGACCCCCGTGATGGAAATCTTGTATTGTCTATTAATCTGTTGGTTAAATATCTTCAAAGGAATTTGTCAATTTTTTCCCTGTTTAAAGCAAACTGAAATTTATAATCAAGGATCACTCACTTTGATAACATAAATTGAAAAAACAGGAATGATTTTGTCTGTGTACAAAATGAGTAAACTGTGAACTGGTGCAAGCCCTAAACTTATAGGTCCTTTCTCCCGTACACTGTTTCCAATTTTGAATATATTTTTCAGCATACTCATGGCTACTCTGTTGATATTGGACCACCAGTACCTATCCCAGACTCAGCTGTTTATTCTTACGATCTGGAACAAGAGGATCTAGGTGGGGGACCAGCCCCAGGACTACCACAAGTTGCTGTTTACTCGTCCGATCTAGAGAAACAGTGGTTAGATGGTGGAGAAGGTGTAGGCTTGTACCACAATGAATGGCCACCATATCTCAATGTTCCTGATGCTAGAAAGAAAGTTAATAAAACCAAGAAAGGTAGGACAATATATGAATATTCATGAATTGTATAATGATCCCAAAAACTTCAGTTTGAGGCATGAAATTCTGGTGTTGTATCTTGTGTCACATGCCCTCCCATCTTGAAGGCTAAAGTTCTTCCGGGACTTGGTTCGTTATATTCTAAGATGCTGAACTTCTGTGCAAACTCTCTCTTTAACTCTTAGCAGTTTAAAGAAACTTATTTTTCCACTGTAGATACCAGTTGTAAACCAATTAACATTTAACACATTTTAACAATTTATTTATTAAAAATCTTGTGTTATTGAAATATTATTTCAATAGTCCAAAAAGTCAATTTGAATTTTCAGTTTTGTGCTTGTTTCTTGTAGGAACATGTAAAAAACTATATTTTTTTGGTTCAATAGCCCAACCAGTTGATAAGATTATTAAGATCATGTCTGTCCTTTGTAGGAACAAGTAGAAAACCATGCAGTTTTTTCCTAGAGGGGGCGTGTAAAAGATCAGATTGTAAATTCTCACATGATCTGTCATCTATAACTTGTCGGTTCTGGGAAGATGGGATGTGTTTTAAAGGCCCACTCTGTCCCTTTTTACATGGCTATCATATAATCAGGTGAGTAGAAAATTAGACAGGTGTAATATCTATTTCTCTATTTCTCTAAAACATCTTATATCTTAATTCATTATACTAATGATTTGAACGACATGTAGAAACGAGGAGCACATATAACAAAACACAACACAATTCTTTAATAATACATGCTTAAGATATAACAAAACACAACACAATTCTTTAATAATACATGCTTAAGATATGACAAAACACAACACAATTCTTTAATAATACATGCTTAAGATATAACAAAACACAAGACAATTCTTTAATAAAACATGCTTAAGATATAACAAAACACAACACAATTCTTTGATAATACATGCTTAAGATATAACAAAACACAACACAATTCTTTAATAAAACATGCTTAAGATATAACAAAACACAACACAATTCTTTGATAATACATGCTTAAGATATAACAAAACACAACACAATTCTTTGATAATACATGCTTAAGATATAACAAAACACAACACAATTCTTTAATAATACATGCTTAAGATATAACAAAAACCAACACAATTCTTTAATAATACATGCTTAAGATATAACAAAACACAACACAATTCTTTAATAATACATGCTTAAGATATAACAAAACACAACACAATTCTTTAATAATACATGCTTAAGATATAACAAAACACAACACAATTCTTTGATAATACATGCTTAAGATATAACAAAACACAACACAATTCTTTAATAAAACATGCTTAAGATATAACAAAACACAACACAATTCCTTGATAATACATGCTTAAGATATAACAAAACACAACACAATTCTTTAATAATACATGCTTAAGATATAACAAAACACAAGACAATTCTTTAATAATACATGCTTAAGATATAACAAAACACAACACAATTCTTTAATAATACATGCTTAAGATATAACAAAACACAAGACAATTCTTTAATAATACATGCTTAAGATATAACAAAACACAACACAATTCTTTAATAATACATGCTTAAGATATAACAAAACACAACACAATTCTTTAATAAAACATGCTTAAGATATAACAAAACACAACACAATTCTTTGATAATACATGCTTAAGATATAACAAAACACAACACAATTCTTTAATAATACATGCTTAAGATATAACAAAACACAAGACAATTCTTTAATAAAACATGCTTAAGATATAACAAAACACAACACAATTCTTTAATAATACATGCTTAAGATATAACAAAACACAACACAATTCTTTAATAATACATGCTTAAGATATAACAAAACACAACACAATTCTTTAATAAAACATGCTTAAGATATAACAAAACACAACACAATTCTTTGATAATACATGCTTAAGATATAACAAAACACAACACAATTCTTTAATAATACATGCTTAAGATATAACAAAACACAACACAATTCTTTGATAATACATGCTTAAGATATAACAAAACACAAGACAATGTTATGGAATATAACACACTTCTTTAATAAGGTTAGGCACATAACGTTTCAACACAATATACACCATCATCATCAGATGTAATGGCAAGAGAATAAAACATAACAAAATTAACAGGTTTAAAAGAAACCTTTTAAGAAGAATTCATTGTGTGATTTTGAGATGTACTCAATAGACATATTTAATTCAGTAGTGAAATTTGATTCTATATTTGAAGAGTGAGTTTTTATTGCCGGCAGCTGAGGATGAGTGTTAACCTCCCTTTTGTAGCCATGTAAGACACTAAGATCATGTAACATATTGTAAATTTCAGTGATAGTGATTCTATAGATTCTGGAGAAGGGAAATTTGAACTGAAGAAGGAAGAATTTCCTGAATTAAAAACCAATAAAACCACTTCTCGTAAGGTAAATATTGACTTGTATTTTATAAATACATAGTCTGTGTGACAGGCATGCCCTATTGCTTTATGAATGTGGAGTATGTCAGCTAGTTTCATACTTAAATGGTTGGTTTGATTACTACATATATCTGATTGGTATTTTTGGACTTTTCAAACTTGTTTCCCTCTGTCAGTGATCTAGGTCATGGGACTGAAGTAAAAATGCTTATTGTTGTTTGGATTGGATATTAAGATGGCCTTGGCAATCATAAAGAAACAATCCAAATTTCAGCGAAGGAGACTTTTTTCGTCTGTAAAAGAATATTGGTTGTGATTCTGAAATTCACAAATATTAAGGATTAACACTACTTTGTAGGAATCTACAGATGATAAACAGAAGAAAACTGAAAGAAGCAAAGAGAAAAAGAAAAAAATAGTTAGCACCAAAGTTCATAAAGTAAACTAAGAGTTATGGAACTTTGATGTAAATTATCACTAGATGGCGTCACTGTAAATATAATCAATTCTGATTGGTTCAGTTTTTAATGTGTTTAGAGTTTAGAGTTGTCATGGTGTCATCCACTCAGGAATATTTGTATTATCTTAGAAATAACAAAGATTTCAAGTTTTTTTAATCATTTTTTACCAAAATTCAACAAATCATCTACAGATTAAACTTTGAATTTAAACACTGATACATTCTTGACAACTTGGTTTTGCATTTTAAAACATTAGATGTTTAATCTTATGAAATTTACAAAATTTAATTTCTGAACTGGCAGTGAATAGCATTTTGCTGAAAAAAAGCAGACGTAAATCCAAGCAAAAATTTTACCAACTAGACATAAAACAAAAAAAAGAGAACAAAACAAATTGGTAAAGTTGTATTAAATTTTTGTTGTTGAAATCTGATGTTTATTTATAAAATAATAATCATTTTTTAGTGTTGATTAACCAGGTTGAAAATATGTTTTCGGAACAAAAATAATACTTAAGTAATTTAAACAAGTTCGATAATCAGCTAATCCAAGTCAAAGTATATGAAACGGGTTTCGGTTTGTCTTTATTTGATTGGCTCTCTGGTTTAAAGTTTCTTCAGTGAAGCCTCATTCAGTCACTCACTTCTTCTAGATTTTTTTCTTTTTTTATATAAATTCTTATTCTTGTTTTCATACTTTTTCTGTTTCCCAAAAATTTAGTCAAAATTAGAATTTGATTGCGTTTGAATTTATTTTCTGGGCTAGAATAACAATTCTGAATTTAATTAAGACATTCTATTGTTCTCGTATAGAATTTTAAGTTTTGTGAATTTTTAATATTATCTTTGCTGGTTCATATTTATCACAGTTCTTGCTATTTTAAAAAGTTGCAGATTTTTTAAAAAAAATCTTTTTTATTTCTTGTATAAGCTTATGAATTGTCTTGAAAAGATTCCATTTTTAGAATGGAAATTCTCGAAATTTGGCCTTTTGGTTACAAAATGAATAGACGTATTGTTATTGAGCACAATTAAAAAGATATTATATTTGAAAGTTTGCAGATTAGAATTGATAAGCTTGAAGGTCAAGAGATTTTTTTTAGGGAAACAGCATGATATGTATAATGCTAAAAAGCATAAAATATACTCTTCTTATTCTTCATATAGAATAGTTAGTCTTTAGTTACATAGATATCTTACCAATATTTACAACTAATAACCCACTTGGCAAAAATATTAAACACTTCAATGCAATTATTTGTAATAGTGTATTATTAAAAATTAAACCTTTTTAAAATGATACAAATATTAACAAATACTCTCATTATAGTCAGCAAATATATATTTAACAAAAAAAATAGTGTTTTAAAGTTTCAACAGACTAATGTTCAAAAATGCATGACAAAGTATAAAAATAATATGTTCGCATTAAATTTAAGAAAATAAAAGAATGAAAAAGATTAACAAGCCATATACTATAGTTAAAAAGCACAATATGATTGTATTTTTTTTTAATTTAGTTATAAAAGGCAATAAAAAAAATACAAAAATGTCAATAAAAATACTTATATTAAAAACCTTTCCTTAAATAGTCGAAATATATAAATAAAAGATAATGAAATGTTTTCAAACAGTTAAAAAAAATAACCACAACATATATTTAAAAGAGACAATAGCTCGAATGTCAGTAAAAATCTTCTATAGAAAATCTCTTCTTTAAATAAGATAAAATATGAATGTAAAATAACTTAACATTTTTATTATAATATAATTTTAATATTTAAAAAAAAAAGCTCATTTAAAAATACTCAAAAAAAATAAAAACAATAGCATGAAAGTCAATTAAGAATTCTATAAAAATCCCTTTCAATGAAAAATAATCTAGCATTTTCAAAGAGTGACATAAGCACAATATTTATTTAAGAATTCTTATTAAAAGATACAGACATCAATAAAAAATAAATTGTTAACATATAAAGGAAGAAAAAAGCATGTATATTTAATTGTATATATGTTAATTAAGTCATTAGCTAATTGATAACGAGTGAATCGGTGACAGTTTTTGTGTGTGTGTGAAAATCAATCAGAAAAATTGTTAAAAATGGTTTGAAAAAAATCTCATAACATTTCACATTTTTATAGAAAAATAATTTAAATCACTTTAAAAATATTAACCAATTTTATATCTTTTAATTGAGAGTTTGAGATATAAGCTTACCGTTGGGTTTGTTTCGAATTTCAACTTTCATTCTGAAGTTAGTTCATAAAAATCCTAATTTAATTCTTTCTAATTTCATCAATAACATTTTTATAATATTTCATAGATTTGTGTAATTTACACAAGATTCATGCTTTGTGAAAATTTGAAACCATAATTCATTAATTTATGTTAATTTGCACTAATTTTATGTGTGGTACAAGCAAAACCTGTTAAATAAAATTAATTCAGGATTTGTGATAGTTCAGTTAGAATATTTATGCATCTCCTTGAAAATTTATTAACTATCAACTTTATTTGTAGGTAGTTAGAATCTTAACACAATGATTTATTTCTATAATATCAATTACAATACATAATATAACTGTATTCAGAAACAAGAACATGTTATACACAATGGCGTGGACTGGCTTGTATAGTTTCAAATATAAACTAGACTATGTGTGTTAACCTTTAAAATAATCAGTTCACCAATTTAGCTCAATTTGGTAGTTTTCTGTTATGATTATGTTAGGTATAGAGTGTCTAAAATAATTCACAAATAAACACTTATATCCAATTTTAATAACTTTAAAAATTACAGAAAATAATTTTATGAAAATGATCTAAAAAAAACGTTGAAATTTTGGGCTTTAAAAAGTTTTTAACTTAAATTGACAACAATTGTAAAATTATAAACCATAAATTTTGTGACTTGTTGCGTAAATTGTAAGTCATTTTGTCATGGAGTAGAAATTAGTCAAATGTAATACTATATTAGTTGGCGTGTTTGTAAAAAAAAGTGTACACCTAGGTATGATTCCACACAAATAAAAACCCTCTACTTTCTCTACTATGTATTGGACAAGAATGAATGAGGTAGAGCAAAAAACAACTGTAAAAAATCTATTGAGGTTTAATTAATATAAACATCTTTTGTCTTGTCAAAATATAAAACTGAAGAAGTATGTATGTTTGTTGCTCTGTTGACTGACTGTTTATGTGTTTATATTAGAACATGCTTCAAAATTTTGACAAAGACATGACTCTTTTCACATGCTTGTGTAGGTAATTTAAAGCTTTTTCTATCCCAGCTTGAAGTATTTTTGTAGAAGTTTGTCTTGTTACGATGCATTTAGTTGAATTCTGATTTTGTGAACTCTAAATTCTTTTTTGTCATTACAGTTTGGAGTATTTATCCAAAAGTTTTCTAACAAATCTTGTTCTCTTGGCTTCTATGTACATGTAGTTGTATTTGGTCTGCTAAGGGGCTTGCTGAAAGTCTTGTGTCTATATATATTGTATAGAATGCAGTGTTTTTGTAGATCTATTGAGTAGGAGATGTGTCAAGCTAGTAGTTTTCTGTTTGTGTGATAATTATTGAGAGTTATCAAGTTTTAAACTTGAATGCATCCGATATATTCAAACACATGACTATGAAAAATGGCATCAAATGAATTTTGGAGTTACCTTTCTTTGAAAGTTCAAGATTTCGGCATGCAATGTAGTTAATGTTTTATATGTGATCTATTAATCTGGTCTGAAATGTTAGTTACGGTAAATGTGTATGGAGCCAGAAACATGTGCAAATAGCCTGCAATATCACCTTTTACTAGAGGTGGATTTTACTTGTCATTCACCTATATCACTAACTCAAAAATGTGGGAAATAGTCTTCAAATAGTAAGGTTGTTAGGATTTGACTGCGCTAAATGCAATAAGCACTGGTCAAGGTATCAAAATTTGTATTTGTATGATATTATATGTCAGATTACAGATGTAGTTAAGTTAATAGGTATTAGGATACAAGAATGTGCCAACTGTAAAAGCACTGGTCAAGGTATGAGAAATGGTTAATGTATTACTGAATGGGAGCATCGAACTCATAAAAGTGAGCAGTGGTTCTCAAAATGTTAAATGGCAACTGTTAAAAGCACTGGTCAAGGTGCCTGATATTGTTAATATATTACTGAAGTATAATGAATGAGCATCCTACTCACAAAAGTGCAAGCAGAGGTTCCAAAAAAGTTGGATTGGCAACTGTTAAAAGCACTGGTTGAGGCATCGGAAATTAATATATTACTGAAATATAATGAATGAGCATCCTACTCACAAAAGTGCAAGCAGAGGTTCTCAAAAAGTTAAATTGGCAACTGTTAAAAGCACTGGTTGAGGCATCAGAAATTAATATATTACTGAAGTATAATGAATGAGAGAGCAGCTATAAAGTTTAAATGTGATATTTTATGTTTGTCTGTGTCAGTAGTATCTGTATATATAAAGTAGGTTAATAATATTTATAAAGAATATACCCCCTTCCCCCTACCCCCTTCCCAACCCTGGTCCATTCTATTGCCCCTCCTCCCTTTTTGGAATTTTTATTATTTTTAAAAGTAATAAAGGTTATAATAGAAATATTATATTTCAGTTTTGTTCACTTTCTATATCATTAGAAAAAGTAGATAAAAAAAATAAATGTTTAGAATTTTTTTATTTATCGGTACGCATTGGCTTTGATCTTCCATATACAGACATTCTGTCCAACATGTCTGGAAAATACAGCCAATTAGTTAATTTATATCAATTACTAAAGTCACCCCTGGCCCATAATTACCCCCCCCCCCTCTTCCCCCCTCCTCTCCTGTATACAAGTTATCTGTATATAATATATGTATATGTGAGCCTTGAAGTGGTCTATATATAATTTGAGTTGAGTGTCTTGGTTTCTAGAACACCTGTTGCCATTAGCCTGTATAGCTTGTGAATTCAGCTTCAGAGTTAGAATGATATAGCTAGTGATCCCCTGTTTGCATAAAATAAAAGACTGGGTTGATTTTAGTCTTGATTGTCACACATCAAAATTATAGTCAGCCCCTGCCAAATTGCCTACATGTCAATTAAGGAATTTTAGATGATATTACTTTCTAGTAATCTAATTGGTCTATCACTTACAATTTTAGTTGTATCATCCAGTCTGTATTTCCTAAAATCTTGATGTTACCTTAAGTTTCCAAGAATGGGCCCCTGTGGTCTTGAAAAAATTGGACCTTGTAAATTCATTGTTTTTTGCATACAGCCAGTTTGATCCTATTTGAATTGTTTTCGTTTAGAGTTTATGTTGAACATTTGTGTTAATTTGTAATTTGTGTTGCTTCAAGTGAAACATATTTATTCAAATTAGATAAGAGCTCGGAAAAATTGTTAAGAATATTCATTTTTTTTTTTTAAGCACAGTTATATGTTTATTATTTTAGGATATCCTTAGTTTTGCTTGTCTTGTTTTGACGTGTGTTTTATTCAGCTTGCCATTTGTGTCGCTTTCAAATGTATATGTCTCAAGTTGACCTTCAACTAATAATTGAATTCCAACTTACAGAGATATTACAGTGTTAAAATGTGCTTCATTTATTTATCAGAAACATTGATGTAATATGTCTGGGTTGTTTCCCTTGTATTGAAAGTGACAAAAACATGTGTAGTAATAATTTAATTTAAGATTAGATTGAATGTAAGCAATTTCCAGACTCAAATGTAAGAATTATTAAGCATTGTATTGTTCAGATACAAATATATGAGGTACAGAGTTTTGACTGTATTTAAGCGCTTTCTTCCTGGTATTATAATACAAGAGGACTGAAATTACAAAACTCCTGTTCATACAACTCTTAGAACCATACCACATTATTTGCTTCTTCAATTTTTAACTGTATTGATTTTGTAATACAGGCTTAAAGCTGACACTGACCAAACTCTCAGCATCTACTGGCATAAGAATTAGATTTTTTTCTTCTGCATCATTTAAATGAATGACAATGTACTAAATACCCCATGAAAATTTAATTAATTGTATGTCTTTTAATATAATCTGTACCCCATTAACTATAGAGTTAAACTAAATAAGGATCATAGCTAATATTATATAATAACAATGTGTTCATACACAATCTTGCCTTGACAATGTATTAATATCATCTGTCACATGACTATCATGTGATCTGACATGACAGGTTCTTGTCCATTATTTATGATAATTACTTATAGCTAGATGATGTCTGTTTGTTTCTTATCTCTGGGTTTTTATCAGTCAATATTAATTGTATTCCGTGTGATAAAAGTTCTGATGACAAATTTCATGGCTTCTTCATTTGACAAGAAATAACATTAACTGTCACAAATATGTTGATAGATATTTGGAGATATTATTTTGTAGAATAATGTATGTAAAATGATTTGCTTGTGTACAAAAGAAAATTTACAAACTATCAAATTATAATTTAGTGGCTTAGAAGTCATTTAAAATGAAGGTGTGAGACTTCAAAAAACTTGTTTCAAGTCCTTTACAATTAAATCATCATAAAATAATCAATTGAAATGAACCAGCAAAAAATCTAGGAAATTACATTTATCTGATTGGTTATAAAACTTGATTAGCCAATCAGATGATAGTAACATTAAAGTCATCATAAAGAAGGATTTTGATTAACCTTTCTCCTGGGTGACATCTTTCAAGATGATGATGTTAATGTTATAAGTAAGGAATACGTCAGTCAATTGTGAAGTTACAGTATGACGGTGTATATCACAGTTCACTGTTTATTTGATACTATGTTATTATGTATATGTACAGCCCCTATATATATATAGGGTCCATTATGTATATTGGTTACATTTTGAGGGATTAGCCCCGTTTCTAGAACTTCTTAAAAAAAACAATTCCTTACATGTGACTGTTTACTACGTTACCCTAGTCACAAAAAAGATTTTCAGAAATGGGCTTAAGGTATTTAACACCTGTAATGGGCAGGCCCCTTATTCCATTATTTTTTTTTAGGGTTAAGTTAAGTATAGGCAGTTTCAGAGAGAGCAAGAGATTTGAGCTTACAATAGTTCCAAACTTCTGGCAATGTCAGTGAATAACTTGTGCTCTATCATATTCCTTGAGCAATGATAGATTCTATAATCTAACGACAATCTATCGTTGCTAAAGGAACATTGTGCTCCATATATATAAGGTAGAAGTAAGCTCCAAGCTTTCTCCACTTTGAATTTATTTGGAAATTAAGAATTTATGGATTGTGTCCTGCCCAAATTGTAACCAAGAAGTAAAACAAAGCCCAATTTACACTGCTTCCAATTGAATGAAAATATTCTTAATTTTAAGATTAATTAAAGAATCTGAGTTCAATGATTGGCAGTGTGAACTGGGCTTAAGAACTAACTAGAAAGTGTGAAGATCTTGTTTTATAAAACCATTTTATTATGCAGTAACCATCATTGGTGAAGATCAAAAAAAAATAAATATGGTAGAATTCTGTTGTCTTGTTTTTTTCACCATTACCCTTATTGCCTGTCAGTCTTCATGGGTCCATTTATAGCGCTTAAGACTTCCGACTCCAGAATAGCCTTGGGGACATTTCGATAAAAAAAGTCTAACTCAGGGCACACCTTGCCAATGGTCCAATTTATATTGCAGAAGTCACATTGCATGGTCTTGTTATTGATTAATTTTTTAAAGTCCACTCTGAAAAGGGACTGACAAAAAATGATTGAAAAAATACAGAATTTTAAGTTTTATTCACAAAAGTAATTCAATAAAATTTTCAATAAGAAAATAAAAATTTAGAAAAACAATATACAAAAATAATTTTTAATAAAAAAAATAAATATTGACAACTCTTTTGGTAAAAACATACTTGTTAATGTTTAGGTTTAAATTGTTTGCAATTTTTAAGAAAGAGACTCTTAAAATTATACTATATACAAATATACATACAAACAAAAATCCCTTTTTTGGGTACAAATATTGAAACTACCATGCAAGTAAATTCATGATGTGTTATATTTTCGTAATATGTTAAAAGTTCGTCCCAAACCTCTTCCAAAGTAATAGATCTCCACTAACCTAAACCCATTCCCTAGGACAGCCTATAGGACTTTAAACTCTCCTACAGGATTTCCTTATACTTAAAATACATTATTGACAGGTGCTTCGCTACCGGGACTACCACCATTTCCATTGTTGGCTTGAATAATTTCACCGGAACTAGCCCCAAAACCATTGTTTCCATTTTGAACTCCAAATCTGCTGTCAACTGGCATTCCATTTCCAACAGAGGCTCCCATTCCAATTTCAACTGGCATTGCGTTCCCAGCAGAGACCCCCATTCCGATGTCAACAGCCATTCCATTTCCACCAGATGCCCCCATTCCAATGTCAACTGGCATTGTGTTTCCACCAGAGGCTCCCATTCCAATTTCAACTGGCATTCCGTTTCCAACAGAGGCTCCCATTCCATTATTGGCTGATATAACGTTACCAACAGAGGCTCCAATTCCAATGCCAACTGGCATTGCATTACCAGCAGAGACCCCCATGCCATTATTGGCTGACATAACGTTACCAGCAGGGGCTCCCATCCCAATGTCAACTGTCATTCCATTTCCACCAGATGCTCCCATTCCAATGTCAACAGGCATTGCGTTTCCACCAGATGCTCCCATTTCAATGTCAACTGGCATCGTGTTTTCAGCAGAGACCCCCATGCCATTATTGGCTGACATAACGTTACCAACAGGGGCTCCCATCCCAATGTCAACTGTCATTCCATTTCCAACAGAGGCTCCCATTCCAATGTCAACTGGCATCGCGTTGCCAACAGAGGCCCCGATTCCAATATCAACTGGCATTGTATTTCTGACAGAGGCTCCCATTCCACTGTCAACTGGCATACGTCCTATTTTTCCAGCAGAGGCTCCCATTCCATTATTGAATGGCATAACGTTTCCAGCAAAGGCTCCCATTCCATTATTAGTCACCATAACGTTTCCAGCAGAGGCCGTCATTCCATTATTGAATGGCATCACGTTTCCAGCAGAGGCTCCCATTCCATTGTTGAATGGGATTGCGTTCACAGCCAAAGCCCCCATACCATTATTGAATGGCATCACGTTTCCAGCAGAGGCTCCCATACCATTATTGAATGGCATCGCGTTTCCAACAGAGGCTCCCATTCCATTATTAGACACCATAACGTTTCCAACAGAGGTCCCCATACCATTATTGAATGGCATCACGTTTCCAGCAGAGGCTCCCATACCATTATTGAATGGCATCGCGTTTCCAGCAGAGACTCCCATTCCATTATTGAATTGGATTGCGTTTCCAACAGAGGCTCCCATTCCATTATTGAATTGGATTGCGTTTCCAACAGAGGCCCCCATTCCATTATTGGTTGTCATTATGTTTCCAACAGAGGCTCCCATTCCATTATTAAATGGCATTATATTTCCAACAGAGCCTCCCATTCCATTATTGGCTGTCATCACGTTTCCAACAGAGGCCCCCATACCATTATTTAGAGGCATACCATTTCCATATGTTGCAACTGGGACAACATTTCCATTAGGGGCAGGCACGATTGAGTTGACACCGACAGGAGAAATAGTTCGTTGACTGACGACGCTTGAGGTTCTGGTCCCGGAAATTGGTCGGTTGAATGGAGATCGGATTCGTTGCCGCATACGGGAATTCATCACGCCAATTCTCATTCTCGCTGCCATTGGCCCCATGGGACCGAAAATGCCCATCGGCCCAAAAGCACCCATCATGCCAAAGGGTGAAAATGGTCTCATCATGTGTAAGAAAGGGTTAAACGGTGGCATGATGGGCATTCCAAACATTCCTGGCAATGGTAGCGATGTTGTCATGGCAACTAGACAAACTGCAGAAACTGCTACCTTCAGCATCATTGTGATATTCCTAAAATTAAAAAAAAACGAAAATTTAGTGACTTCTGACAACCTCGGATTTAAGATTGGTTTCAATTTTATTTGATATTTGCGAAATCAAAGATGGAGTCATCGTCTCTTTAATTCGTCTGAAACTATTACATAATTTTCCCGTGTTTCCCGTAAGCAGATAAACTTCGTAAAAGGGACAAATGTAATAAATATTAATATGTCACATAATATAAACCCCGCCAATCAATACGCAGACACGTTACCATTTTCACGTTTTGTTTTGAAAAATTGGACACAAACGCGAAGCTCATGAATTTTAAATGAATTCAGGCAACACCCTCTCCCCTCTTCTGTTGAAAAGTTGCTTGTTACCATTCAACCACCTTAACCCTGTGCCAATGCCTTCTATTGAATAGTAGGGAGCCACAGTGGCTCAGTGAGTTAGACGCTTGACTAGATAATACCTTTCGGATTTTTCAAAGGTAAAAGGGGCTGGGACAATAAACCCAAGCCCCGTGTGCTTCAGGCTATGCACGTTAAAGATCCCTCGTCAGTTGGAAATCGAAAAAAAGAGCAGGTTAATGCCGCTTTCCTGGAAAAGTATTTTTCATTATACTCTGCATGGCGTCACCCGTCATCATTAGCCCACATGGTGCAGAAAAATGGTACGTAAAACTCCATTCATTTCATTTTATTTCTATTGAATAGTAACTTTTTACTTTTCATCCACGCTAACTTCAATGTCAAACTATTATTGAATTTCATACTTATACATTAATTGCAAATAGTCACCTTTCCTGTATCATGACATTTAGTAATTGGAGCCATTTGACTGAATTGTGCGCAAGCGAATACAGCTAATCGGAAGCCTCGACAGAAAATCTGTGAACACAAAGCCATAATGTTTACAGCCTTTTTGTGGGGGTCTCTGGTTTTAATTGGCTGTATTCGCTGACGTACAATGCAATAAATTCTCTGCATTCCGTGATATCAGAATAATTGCAGTCAAGTTATAAGTTATAAGATTGACTCTTTGAAGATGCCCTAACCTCTACCATAGAATAATCATAGCTGGGAAGGTCTGTTTAAGATGGGTTTCCTTATTTTTCTAGTGTCAAATTAAGCAAACTATTTTTGTTTTTGTTTTTAATGAATAATCCTATATTCTTAATCATATCTGTATGTTCTTATTGCATATAATTAAGAGTTTCAACCAATCATAAATGCTCATGTTTGTACAGTCTGGATAAACAAAAAAATATTTTTTAACCTTTCCTGATCGGTCACTCATTTTAATTCTGCTGGTAATTCTTCTCTAATTTAACCAATTATGAATTAATTATGGACATGTGAGACAAACTGGTATTTTTCCAAGTCATTAGAACACCTCTTCTTTCTATTCATATAAGTATTAGCATTTTCATTTTCATAAATGAAAATAAGGGAACCCATCTTTAAGGATCTCAGATTTCTATTCCCTATTAATATTGTAATATCTTACCTTGACTGTTATACAATGAACCTCAAATCAGGTATGGATTGTGAATGAAATCTGGAGAATATATATCTGTAAAAAACTTACATAAGATGTGTATGTTTCAGTTTTATCATGGTTAAATATTTTAATAATCAAATTGGATGTCGGTCTTATATCACGGAACAAGGGCCTTCCTCTCAATATTATTACTGATTGCTCAAAAACATCATCGCAGGTGTCAATAACATTGTTGTTTTCTTGATTGGACACAATAGTTCGGTTTATCCTCATCAATATATGTTTAATTTGGAGCGTTCACATGTTCACAATCGTAACTCGGGGGCCTTATCTCATTAATATGCGTGTCATGTAAACGAACTTCAATGATGTTACTATAACCATTTTATTTTGAATAAAACCAAAAACAAAGTTTTCTGAGAATCTTTTTTGTATTCAAGCTTCATGTTGCAAATGAAATGATAAGGGGTTTTGCCTCTTACTTCTCTACTTCAGATTGGCCTTTAGCTTCTCGGCAGGATAGAAGCTACAGTCTTCATACGATCTCGATGAAACTTGGTATGTATATATATCCATCTTTGATGTTTATGGACTTGTTTAGTATCAACAAGTGTAATTTAGTTTAATTAGAATTTTGTTCTTGTTTTATATCATTTTGCTCATTAACAGTTTTGTTAATGTTAATAAATGACCTTTTCTATTTAAATCCATTGTGTTAACATCAAACGAGCCCCACATCAGGGGAGATAAATATTTTGAGATCTCAATCTAGCCTGAATTTGGTAACAATTAGATGAACGGTTTCGCTGTTATTACCTTTTATTTATTAAAGTGATACTACGTCTTAGAGCGAACATAAAATTTAATTCTCAAGAATTGTCAATATGAGTATATATTTATCAGTGAACTTACCTGGTGTCATAAAGTTACAACAGAATCCCTGTAAAATCTAGAAAATTGGAAAATTCATAAAACCAAGTAATTATTGAAAAACGCTTAGTTATAATATTAAACGTTTTTCAATAGTTAATTGCATTTTTATTAAGTTTTTTAAATTTATCAGATTATATAAGGATCCTGTTATGTTATTTATGACACCAGGTATATCTACTGATGAATATATTTTTTTATTGTTTACAATTTTTAAATTTTATGTTTATTCTAAGACGTAATATCCCTTTAAAATAAAATAACCGCGTCAAATTAGGCTTTCAGGCAGGATAGAGACTACAATTGTTATTCAATCTTGATGAAACTTGGTATGCATGCATATATTGCTGAGATCTCAGTCAAGCCTGAATTTGGTAACAATCGGATGAGCGGTTTCGGTGTTATTGCCCTTGATTTAGTAAAAACGGGTTAAGTTAGGCTTGTAGGCGGATAGACTACAGTTTTTATCTAATCTTGATGAAACTTAGTATGCATATACATATTGATGAGGTCTCGGTCAAGTTTAAATTTGATAATAATAGGATGAACGCTTTTGGAGTTATTTCCCTTGACTTAGTTAAAACGCGTTTTGGCTTGTAGATGCGACACAGGCTAATAATCGATCTGGATTAAACTTTGGTATGTATGTATATATTCATGAGATCTCAAGTTTCAGTTTCATGTAGTGATTCGTTGAATGGTTTTAGAGTTATTGCCCTTGACTTAGTAAAAAACGCACTAAATTTTGCTTGTTGACACGATATAAATTCAAATTGGTGTGCATATATATGCATTTATATATGTTGATAAGATTTTGGTCAAGTACAAATTTTGTGCTCATTGATGAACGATAAATATCATAGAGACTGCAGTGTTGAATGTACAATTGATGAGACAATGTTTAGACATTAGTCATCCATCAGACATTTATTCATTGAACTGTGTCGACAATTATTTGCTGCTCTTATAGAAATGGAAATGAAGTGATCAGTGGCTTATCTATGAGCCACATGGTGGAGGAACCAGGTAGGGGCCAGGGCAAACAGAATTGGGTGCTAAACCGAGGCCTAATTCCCCACCCCACCCACATAGAAACGCCACTAGATGTGATATGGGATCTTTTAACATCATATACATCTGCACCTGTTTTGGCTTATGACGCCATGATGCAGTGTGCAATGAGGGAAATTTTACTAGGAAAGCTGAATAAGACTACTCTCCGAGCGTCAAAGGATCTTTTACATGAAGAGACGAATGCACATACGAGAATAAATGTAACAATTTTATATACAAAACAATACAATATTTACATTATTTTTAATGAAAGTGTCACAATGTCAAGGTTTGTAAAAGCAGCGATTTTATTGGATTTTACACTTGCAAATACAGCCAATCAAAGCCCCCGGCAGATGAATTGTAAAAATTATGACATATTTGGATATTTCTGATAGGCTAATCTTCTTAATGTCAAGATATTACGAACTTCGTCTAACACCGTGTCTGCAATAGCCACTATTCTTATAACACAATGTTTGTAAATGGTTGGATTGTATGCTAGCGAATACTGCCATTAAAAGTCCTCGACAGAATGGCTGTAAACAATAAGCCACAAAGTTTACAGTCTTTCAGTTGAAGGCTCTGATGGGCTTTAAATGCTGGCGCACAATCCAATGAAATCGCTGCATTCCTTGACACAAGAAAGGTAGCAATATGTGATGTGATAGGCTATATCGCTGCATATACACTGTATACATAAACTTCTGTATGAAAGTGTCTAATGATGTCAAACTCAAAACGTCAATGTGGTCGACATCACTCTTTACATATATGTTCACTTAGACCTGACGCAGGTCTGTGTGTCCGTCAAGGGATGAGCAGCTATTAAATTCGACCTCTACATGTAGATACGTAATGGGTATGTTTTTTCGACCCATGGTTCTAACTTTAGAGTTGTAATTGTAGACAGTAGTAGGGTTAACCATGGTATTTCTAGATCTGAATCATCCACGACAACTTGTATCTGAAAAGAGCAGTTAATGAGTGAATAGATAGTCGAGGTATTGGGTCCAATGTTGTGTGGTTCAAAGATATAATTCAAGGTAGGCTTCCTGGCATCACAATAATCAAGGTATTGCGAACTTCATCCTATACCTTGACTGCAATAGCCACCTTTCACAGAGAATTCCATGCCAGCAAACACAGCCAATCATAGCATTCGACAGACTGTAAACATTATGGCTAATTGAATACAGACTTTCTGTCGAGGACTCTGATTGGCTATATTCGCTAACAAAATCGATGCACTCTTTAACTTCCGTGATACAAAAAAGTCAAGGTATAGGTTTGTAATAGCTTGTGGAGCAAGGGCCACAAAAGTTTCAAGGGAGGGCTGCAGACAATTCTTTCACTACGCAAAATCACACACACTAGTTGAAAATCAAAGCCAGAACCTATATCAAAAGGATGATTTCATCAAATAAAGTTTAACTGACTCTGTAAATGAACTTTGATCTTCAAATCATTCTAGATGTCAGAGGACAGAGAAATTATCTTCTGAATACAACAATGCTTTTTTACCTATACACGATCCGCGTCCCAAAAGATCTATACAAAATTGGGTCTGACTGGGCCGAGGTTGGTTATTCCATAAAGTGGTCTCTGTCTACCCATCATTCCTCTTGCAAAAGGGTTCATCATCCCAAAAGGTCCAAAAGGCATTCGTCCCATAGGTCCCATTTGTCCCATAGGCATTCGTCCCACTCCAAATGGTGGGAATCCCCGTCCTAAGAAAGGCATCCTCATCATACCCATACCAAACATTCTGCAGTTTGCCATGGAAACCAGACAGGCTAATACTATAATGGATTTCAACATCGTGGTCATTCTGAAAATGAATTTTAGAAAATATTATAAAAATATCAAACTGTACGAACCAAAGTGAAAATATAGATGATGATTTGACTAATTGTGAACTAACGACTTTGTATTTCTGAATTACTTGTTTATCTTGTAAATCTTGATAATTTTCTATCAAATTGATGTATTCCAATGCTGAAATTCACAGTCCCTACTTGTGACCTAGGCCAGTGCTTCTATAAGAGAGTGTCTCTTATAAAACCTTATACCTATACAAATATATTTTCAAAGTTATTTGATTTCTATATGCTTTTGTCCCAAACTATGTGTCAGAATGCACCATATCAATTGATTTTTCGAAACTTCTCTCGATAGAACTCTCACAGACGCTCGACTATGACGCTTCCACGGAGTATCCGCAGTTTGAATTCAGCCTCAACAGTTGCCCCCAATTGAGTCTCAGTCTACCCCCTATTTGTACCCACACTCTCGGTAGGTTGGCCCCAGCATTGAAAAGAAGGTTATTAATGAAAAGAATAATCACACGTAGGCCACATATAGCTAATGATATTTGGTGTATTTGGTAAAAAAAAACCCAATTAAAATTCTATGATAGAATTAATTCATAATGAAAAGATTTTACGCCTTACCTGATGTAATGGTTGTCTCAATCGTTCTAGCGAAAATGATGACATGTGTTGAATAAATAGCAGGGTCGGCTTCTCTCAGACAAATTTACTACCCCTATTAATCATAGAGCTATTATGGTTCCCTTTCATCTTATTTTTATGATTAAACTAACATCAGAATAGTGTAATGATAAAAGGATTTACATGTAGATTTTAATGACCTTTATCACTTCGTCCTTTATTGAAATTATTTCAACAAATTTCAATTTTTTTTTCAGTCAAATTCGAATTTTATCTAAATATCTATTAATTTCATTTTATCAAATATTTTGTGATCAAAAGCATGATATAATTTTAGGGAAAATGGGGAACCTACTAAAAATTAAACGCAATTTTTAGATTTATGTCATATTTTGAAGAAACTTGAAAAGGGAAATGTGATTAATTGATTAAGGGGACACAGTTTAATACTTAAGATTCAAGGCACAGTGATTAATGTCGTGTGGTCAAGATCATAATATGTCTCCCGGAGGGTGATTTAACCCTGTTTTAAAACAATCATTATATGTAACTTCAGTGGTGAATTAACAGAAGGCATTGGTAGGGGGTTAAAGTAGTGTTCTCTAACAGATTTCGTGTACAAACTTAAATTCATAAAAGCCCGCAAACGAAATACATATACTGAAAGGGTTGTATGACATTTTTCTGCGTCATAACAACATTTTAGCTCAGGTGGCTAAACGCATCACTTGTAAAGAAAATAATTCGGACAACCGACCAATTCCATTACTGCAACTTAAGACAATACACTATTGCCCCTCTGTATATATTACTTGCCCCTCCGGATATATTACTTGCCCCACCGGATATATCACTTGCCCCTCCGGATATATTACTTGCCCCTCCGGATATATAGTACTTGCCCCATCGGATATATTACTTGCCCCATCGGATATATCACTTGCCCCTCCGGATATATTACTTGCCCCACCGGATATATTACTTGCCCCTCAAGATATATTACTTGCCCCTCCGGATATATATTACTTGCCCCACCGGATATATTACTTGCCCCAACGGATATATTACTTGCCCCACCGGATATATTACTTGCCCCTCTGAGCAAACAAGCCTGGCTTGGCTAAGGGCCTGCTACAAGTACAAGGCCATTAAAAACCTACATTAGATATTTCTGTGGATCGAGTTGACTATTTGTTATCCACATTACCAATTTCATTTAGTAAAACACAGTATTTCCAAAAATTTTACTGAATCGAAATTCTCTGTACTGTGGTCCTTCAATAGAATAAGAAAGTTTAGAATGTGTTCATTGCTTCGAAACTGTTTCGAGATTTTGCTTCAGATAGTTTCGATAGGAAATAGAGGGATATAACTCTCATTTTCAAAATGGCTGACAAATCTGTAGGTCATCGGTTTTATTTTGGATTTCTTCTAAAACATCGGCCTTTTTCTGACATTTTGAGTGATTTTCAGTTTTAATATGAGAAAGAGTCCTTTATTTATAAATAGAGTAAGATTTGTGAGCATGTTTCTTCGGACTTGAGAAAAATTATCACATTTGAAGCTGCAAAATATTTCATCAGATTCAGACTACTGTTAATTTCTCCATTTAATTTTTCAGACTGAAGAGAACACGATAAAAATCGGCGAGGTAATCTTACTTAATGAATTTAATTTTTATGTTTAAGTTTGAATTTAAGTTTTCAAATTTTAAGAGGAGCAAGATATTAGCAATAGCAATCGTGGTACCGGTACTCTGATTTATACAACAAAATTTCAAATTGTGGCCGGTAGGCCTATAGTTAAGGCTATTGGTTGCTAGCAATGAGAAGTTAAAGGGACAGGTCTACCATTTTGGGGGTTTAGTTTTAGTCTTCAATATATGTAAAAAAAAAAAATTTTTAGAAGTACTAGAAATGTACGAAAATTGTGTAATTCCTTTAAAAATACTTCAAACTAGGAATTTTACTCACTATTTCTATATATGTCTTTTCTATATATCACAGAGAGTATCTTAAATTGACGAGATGTCATTTTATCATTCACACGCGGATAATTCTGGACACACATAGATTTGAAGGCTCCAATTTAGATGCTGAGCTGTGAACACTTTTACTGATTGGCTTAGCTAAAAAATTCCTGTTTCTGAGACTTAAGTATGATTGGTAAATAAAATAGTGCACCTGTCCCTTTAAAGTGTCATGACTTACGACCATGCATTGATTTCAAACTTGTGATCCTTGTAAAACTTCACATTTTCTTTTTCAGTTGCCTATTTACTCCACTCCTGTGACACAAGTAGAATATAAGTTCGTTCCAGAGGAAGTGGGTGCGTTCCAACAAGGAGTATCAGAAGTTCGCAAGTCAGTCTGGACTTATTTAGAATCCATACAGGTTAGTTTTGGCTTGTTTTTTGATAATAACTTAGTTATCATTATTTTATCAGTTATTAGCTAAGTGGACTGTGATTTGATATCAAATAAAGAACATTAGTTTGTTAAGCATGTTTGTATGAACAGTATATATCTACATAATAGAACAGATATAGAACAGACTTACGTCTATAGTACCCTCTCCTTAGCGGGCTCTGTCTAGATATCAACAAACCAGTACATTATGTAATATTGTTAGAGTTGGAGCGTTGTGTGATGTATCAAAATAGCCTTTTTTTTTTGTTGTACTCAATATTCAGCTAATAAGATTTTGATTATTGTGTTTTTGTAATTTTGTTTGCAGGAAACGACTGATACATTAAAACGAAAATGGAATGTTTCGAAAGCACATACAAATGGTAATGCAATTTCTTACACTCTGTCTGCTGTGTTTCTGAATTTATTGATTGTATGTTTATTCGTAAGGCTTATATTGAAACAATTAAGTCAGATTCATATTATTACTACTTAAACAGTCTAATTAAAATTACACTCCACTTTCGTTTCATTTTTTTTATTAGATTTTTATTTTTAGTATAGCTTTTTCAGAGTTAGGTCTAACGACTGCCCTCTTGAACCTTTGGACCTAATCTGATGACATCTACTGTAACCAACCAATCAAATTCTTTCAATCTGTCACAAAGCACTAATGCTGGGGAAGGCACAAATTTGATTGGTTAAAGCAGATTAGGTCAAAAGGTTATTTTGACGATTGTTCAAGAAGGCGGCCGTTAGACCCTACTCTGAAGTGGCTATACTAAATATAAAAAACTAATAAAAAAATGAAACAAAAGTTCGGTTGAATTTAAATTAGATTGACTTCTTAAACTGCTTTGCAAAAAAATGAATTGCTAATGCTTATGAGTACAAATAAACTCCTTGTGTTCTTACGTATTTTTGAATAGCTTGAATAGCCCATAAAGTTAATATTTCAGAAACGTGTCACCACTAGTAACTTAAACTGAAATTGTGCTTGCATTATGTTTTGTATAAAGGCAGGATCTGCAGGAATATTATTGAATAGTTTAAATAACTCTTTCCATTCTAATAATATTTCAGAAATGATCCACTATATACAAGATGATCCAGCTATTTTACCCCGAGTTAGTGTTATAACAGTTGCAGGATTGGGGGGAATCATTGCAGGAAGCAGAGGTAGATTCTTATCTTATTTTTATACAGATTTTTTTAAAAATGAAGCATATCAGCTAGTAAACAACAATCCTACTGGCTACTCAACTGAGCTAATTATTTTCTGTGTGTATTGTGTCTAGAATCTTTTTTTTTTACCATCAAATCTTAATTTTCTGTTCAGGAGGAATATTAAGGAAGATATTGTTCAGTGGTACAGCCATTACAGCTGCAGCTGCTTTATGTTACCCCCGTGAAGCTATAGCTCTATCTAATGAGGTCTATGATATAGGATATAATGCTGTCAAACCATTATGGGAAAGTGCCGGTACGTATTCATATATTGAAATAGAGAACAAACATAATGATAGCATGATAATTTTTTTTTGTGTTTTAATTTTCAACTGTTCAAATAATTGTATATCTAACCATGTTGTTGGCAAAGTAAAAGTAGACTTATTTACATTGGGCCACTTTAAAGCTCAAATAAATATCAATCTGTGATGTTAGTTTCACTCAAATCTCAAGTTTTTCCCTAATTGAAATTCTAGTCTTATAGCGGCAAATGATCTGACTAAACCATTCCTCACAATCTCCTTTGCTTTAGGAAATGTTTCATGTATCATTTGGAACTGTGCATGTTTAATTTCCAACTCAACATCTAGTTTAGATTTTATAACACTTAATAAAAGTTCATTTCATATTTTTATTCTATAGTTGATAAAAGTGAAGAAGCTGTAAACAAAATTAAAAAATCTGATGGTAATAATAGCTCTCAAAAGGTAGGATAATAAATATTTTGCTAACTTGAGATGGTATTGTCGCTTTAAACTTTTCACTCTTATTGAGAGTGTAGGTAATGTTGGAATCTATTCAGGCTTGTCTACCCTCTTGGCACTCAAAAGACTGGCCTGTTGTTTACTTCATGTCATAATATTTATATATTGGTATATTTGTATTTTCAGAAGGAATAACATCTTTTGAAAATCAGAATATACTGTGACGTTATCTATAGACGATACTGAAATAGTCTACACTGTTTGAGTGATGGGATTACTACAACATATTACACAAAATTTCCACAAGATTTCACTAGTCGTTATATTTGTATTTTCAGAAAGAATGAAAAAGCTGACAATATTTGTACTGTGACATTATCAATAGACAATATTGAATAGGCTGCACTGTCTTAGTGATTTAGTGATGGGAATGGTAGAACATTAAATAATATATAGATAACGCTGTTTTCATATTACTCAATTTTTTGATTCCAAAGTGTTGGCCTAATCATATATTTGTGGATGGGCTTCTTTAATTGTTACAATATAACACAATTTATGGATATCATTGTTTTCCTTTACATTATATTTCACAAAGAATTCACCAGAGGTTCACCAATATTGCCTAGTACAGTTATTGAATACAGAATAAAGGGTTATAAATTTTATAACATTCGAAAATATTTGCAGTATCACAAGTATGTTATTGTTCAATGTGGTTATTAACCCTGGACTATATTAGGGAATAGATGATATTGTGTAGACCTACTAGAGTGATATGTATTGTATGATTTGAATAAAATTGTTATATTAATTTTAGGCTCAATATTCCTCAAGATTTATTTCTGAAATGCCATCTTTTAGCTAAACTTATCTAGTAATCCAGTAAATAAAGTTGGCCAGTTATGGTAGAGAGCTGGCCACGTATTCTCGAGATGATCTTAGGGCTGGGATGTCCTAGAATCAATGTTAGAAGATAAGAACCTAGGACAATCTAGCACTAAGATCATCTCGAGAATATGTGGTCTGGATGTCAGGCCTCTCATACCTAAGGAAGGATATTTTAATAGAAGTCTTTCCTTTCTCTTACTTATATAGTAATAATAGTAATAAAATTAGTTGATAAAACTAAATCAAAGATCAGTTTTAATAACTGTCCAATCTGAAGACTGGATGTTTGATATTATCATTATTAAAGGCTGGGGCAATCCGGTTGTTGACAAGATGATTTTGTCCATAGGATTTATGGCTTTGATATAATAAGAGTCAAATTTAAACTCTTTGGCACAAAAGATATATATAGATAAGAAAAAAAAAATAGAAATTTGGTATTTTCATCATTTATTACAACTTTTAACTTGAAACATCAAAAATTTCAATAAATTAACATAGTATGAATATTTACACAGCTATTTTGAATAAATTAATATTATGAATATTCATTAATGGACTATATAGTTTTTTTAAGAAGTAACTTGATTCAATAAAACAAATCAATTAATACCCAATAACATATCAAGTGTATGCATTGTAATAGCTATTTGGAAAAAATTGACATGAATATTCATATGTGGATTTTTTTCATTAATATTTATGGATATTCAATCAAACAAAACAATAAACACACAATAACAGGTCAAGGGTATACATTGTTATAGCCATTTGGAATTACTTAAAGATGGGTTCCCTTATTTTCATTTATGAAAATGCTAATACTTATATGGATAGAAAGTAGATGTGTTCTAATGACTTGGAAAAATACCAGTTTGTCTCGCATGTCCATAATTAATTCATAATTAGTTAAATTAGAAGAAAATTATCAGCAGAATTCTGATGAGTGACCGATCAAGAAAGGTCAAAAGGTCTTTTTTGTTTTTCCAGACTGAAAATACAAGGACATTTATGATCGGTTAAAACTCTTAATTATATGCAATAAGAACATACAGATATGATTAAGAATAAGTGATAGTTCATTAGAAACACCAATTAATCAGATAGTTTGCTTAATTTGACACTAAAAAAATAAGGAAACCCATCTTTAACATAAATATTCCAATCAATAATTTAAATTCAGTTATTGCCATTTAAAAACATTAAAATCAGCTGAATAAATATGAATATTTAACATCCAGCCATTTTGAATAAATTAAAACAAATTCTCATTGAACTATTCATAAATAAATATCATTATTCATGAATAGAGGTTTCATAAATTCTATGAATATTCAGTATATAATCATTATGAATAAATTACCGACATGAATATGTAATATCCGTAATTAATATGAATATTCATTTAAAAGGATTAATTTTATTAAAATAAATAGGTAAAATTCAAATTATTATAAATATTCAGTTAACAGATATTATAAACAATTTAGGAACTTGAATATTCATTTTACAGTCACTTTGAATAAATCTGAACAAATATCCATTTTAATAACCATCAATAAATATGAATATTCATAAGCATTTTGAATACATTTACAATAATAATAACAGACAAAACAATTTCATAATAAATTTAACAATAAGAAAGGGAATATTATTTTAAAGGGACAGAAGTGCCATTTTTTTGACCAATCATACCCTTGTCTCAGAAACAGGAATTTTTTTTTTAGCTAAGCCAATCAGTAATAGTTTTCACAGCCTTCAAATCTATGTGTGTGTCCAGAATTATCCACGTTTGAAAGTTAAAATTTCTTGAGGCACTGCCATAGACATCTTCAGAAATAGGAAAAGAAATTTCTAGTTTGAGATATTTTTTAAGGAAATATGCGATTTTCATACATTTCTAGTACTTAAGACTCAAATCAACCTCCCAAAATGGCGCAACTGTCCCTTTAATAGAATCAAAAACTTGGAACAGGACACAATTATATGGATAACAATTTAATAAATAACTTTGCTTGACCATAATATACACGATAGCAATATTTTCACTGTTAAAATAGTCCTCTATTCATCAATTGTAGAGTGATATAGAAATATCACTGTTAAAATAGTGCTTGATACATCAATTGTAGAGCGATATAGAAATACCACTGTTAAAATAGTGCTCAATACATCAATTGTAGAGCGATATAGATACACCACTGTTAAAATAGTGCTCAATACATCAATTGTAGAGTGATATAGAAATATCACTGTTAAAATAGTGCTCAATACATCAATTGTAGAGCAATATAGAAATACCACTGTTAAAATAGTTCTCAATACATCAATTGTAGAGCGACATAGAAATATCACTGTTAAAATAGTGCTCAATACATCAATTGTAGAGCGATATAGATACACCACTGTTAAAATAGTGCTCAATACATCAATTATAGAGCGATATAGAAATACCACTGTTAAAATATTGCTCATTATATCAATTATAGAGTGATATATAGAAATACCACTGTTAAAATAGTCCTCAATACATCAATTGTAGAGTGATATAGATACACCACTGTTAAAATAGTGCTCAATACATCAATTATAGAGCGATATAGAAATACCACTGTTAAAATATTGTTCAATACATCAATGATAGAGCGATATAGAAATACCACTGTTAAAATAATGCTCAATACATCAATTGTAGAGTGATATAGAAATACCACTGTTAAAATAGTGCTCAATACATCAATTATAGAGCGATATAGAAATATCACTGTTAAAATAGTGTTCAATACATCAATGGTAGAGCGATATAGAAATACCACTGTTAAAATAATGCTCAATACATCAATTGTAGAGTGATATAGAAATATCACTGTTAAAATATTGTTCAATATATCAATTGTAGAGTGATATAGAAATATCACTGTTAAAATAGTGCTCAATACATCAATGGTAGACCGATATAGAAATATCACTGTTAAAATAGTGCTCAATACATCAATTGTAGAGCAATATAGAAATACCACTGTTAAAATAATGCTCAATACATCAATTGTAGAGCAATATAGAAATATCACTGTTAAAATATTGTTCAATACATCAATTATAGAGCAATATAGAAATACCACTGTTAAAATATTGCTCATTATATCAATTGTAGAGCTATAACATAATAAATAAATGTCTATGATTGTCTGTTATATTATTATTTCACAAAACAATACTGCTCTAAATGAATCCTTTATTCAAGAAAGTTTTTCATAAAAAAGGCATCTTTATTTGTCATTAATGCCCTCCCCTCGTTAGACGATACAAGAAAATATTATGTTAATATCATGGTGGTGTTTCTGACATTATATCACCCTGACTTTCATTTCATTTTTGAATGAACATTTATTGCACATTATATTGAACACATAATTTCAAAACCTCACATTAACACCTAATTAATTCTCCCAATACAGCCAAAATAAAATTATAACCAATCTGATTGGATAAAGAATCTCATTAATATTCGAGAAATAAAACAAAAGGAAAATCTAACCAATCAGTAAAAAGTAAATGTATTTTGCACTCAAAAAATATAGGTGAATATTATGCATAGAATTTAAAAAGAGCAACAATAGCGTATTCAGTTTAACAAAAATCTGATAAATTTTGTTGTAAGTATTTCAATGTAAAAGTTCTATTCTTGCTTATATTCTTTTATTATAAGATCTACTGAGGATGAGGGCCCGGTTTATTACAAACGACTACTACATTGACCTTATTCACGCATCGGCCATATTGAATCCAGAACGAGGCTTATAACGCAAACTTTGAAAAGGTAATGTTATGTCTCTGCATAAAATCGCCACCTTGACGTCTTTAAATCCTACTTCTTCAATCCCACTAACTCAAAACTAGTAATATTTTACATCATTAAATTTGGAATTGATTAATCTATTCATTGATTCTTTTACATGAATTTTACCTTTATACATTTCTGAGAAAGGGCAGTTTTAAGCCTATTTTCTTGCTGTTTAGGGAGTGTTTAATAACGTCACCATCTTAAAAAGCACTTTACCACATGGTTTGAAATTTACAACTTGGCAAACCAACATTAAGTAGACATTGCCATTGACAACCAATCTACTGTCTATACACATACATCAGTAAATCAGCAAAGCTCGAAGATTAGAGTTGTTGTGAAAAATTCATTAAGGAAACAATCAGTAAAACAGATAATAAATTTATGTTAGTCAAAGAGTGAAATTCTGTTAGAAGAGAAGTATCAGTATTAATCATGCTCCCACACAGGATAAACCTCTAACCTACCCTATAGCAAGCCATGAAAGGATTTAGATAAACCTCTATTCTACCCAATAGCAAGCCTTGATAGGATTTAGATAAACCTCTATCCTACCCTATAGCAAGCTATGATAGGATTTAGATAAACCTCTATCCTACCCTATAGCAAGCTATGACAGGATTTAGATAAACCTCTAACCTACCCTATAGCAAGCCATGATAGGATTTAGATAAACCTCTAACCTACCCAATAGCAAGCCATGATAGGATTTAGATAAACCTCTATCCTACCCTATAGCAAACCATGATAGGATTTAGATAAACCTCTATCCTACCCAATAGCAAGCCATGATAGGATTTAGATTAACCTCTATCCTACCCAATAGCAAGCCATGTTAGGATTTAGATAAACCTCTATCCTACCCAATAGCAAACCATGATAGGATTTAGATAAACCTCTATCCTACCCAATAGCAAACCATGATAGGATTTAGATAAACCTCTATCCTACCATATAGCAAACCATGATAGGATTTAGATAAACCTCTATCCTACCCAATAGCAAGCCATGATAGGATTTAGATAAACCTCTATCCTACCCAATAGCAAGCTATGTTAGGATTTAGATAAACCTCTATCCTACCCTGGCAATATAGATTATGTATCCTAAATTACATCCAACGTGGTAAGAATATAGATAAACCATGCTAGCATCCAGCAAGAACCTGCTATGGATAGAAACCTACAAGCAAATCAAATAAGACCATAACATTTCATAAATCAAACAAATTTCTAAAATATCAAGCTATGAGCATTATATAGCAGATGACCAACTCCAAGCAAATGGTAGATGATTACACTCCTAGCTGTTAAGGAAGCTGTTGAAAGTAAAAGAGAAGTTTAACTTGTTAGCTAGACAGAAAACAGTGCATTTCAGATTAGCAGGAAAATAGAAAATTTAAAGCGACTCAGTCAAGTTTTAAGGGAAATATTCAAGTCACATAGACTTGGATTTTCAGATTGTTGGGTGACAATAATAATACTGAATGCTATATTGATGTATGACTTTAAATGAACTGTACAAGTCTTTGGAATCAATTCAAAATAAGGTAGTATTAGAATGATGCAATAAGTACCTTAGTCTTTGAGACTCAAAAAAACAAAATAAAATTTAAAAAAAAACTAAAAATAACAAAAACTCAACAAAGAAAACAAAATGTCATGGGACTACTCGTAATTTTTGGAATTTAGAGGTCAACAGTTTGACTGAGTTGCTTTATCAATGTTTTACCAAAAGAGGTTCATCGGCTTCAAATATTGTACCTACAAATAAATAAATAAAAATAAAACAACAACAAAACAAATTGTAAAATAAACAAATTAATCAAAAACAAAATTCATAAATAAATAAAAACTTGAGATTCAGCATTTTTTACAGATTCTAAATCAGTTTTAAAAGATCTAAACACTGTCTCGTCTCAAAATTGAATCAAATCATAAACAAGATGTTTATATAAAGGAATACAGGAAATTCTCTATTTTTATTACAGTATCTGTATCAGTTACAGAAGATTCAAAAGATCAAAGTTAAAGACCTCTCATAATTGAACTTTAAAATCTCAAAAATAAAAAAAAAATTTCTCCTGTATCACTTTCTAATTTGCTGTGCTTGGTGCGGTAGAACTTATTCACGTGTCAGCCATACTGTATCCAGAACGAGGCTCATAACGCAAACAAAGATAACGTGTCACTAAATAATATTGCCACCTTAATATCTTTATCGCCCCCTCAATCTCACAAACTCAAAACTAATATTTTACATCATTAAATTTGGAATTTATCAAGCTATTTAATGATACTTTCAGATGAAGTTTACCTTTATACATTTCTGAGAAATGACAGTTTTTAACTATTCATTCATATGACGTCACCATCTTCTCAATGGATGACGTAATTTGCGTTATGAACCTCATTTTCCGTGTCTTAAGAATGAGGCGTGAATATATATACACAATAGAAATAACATACTATATCACAGAATGACCTCACAGCACGAGATTAACTTACAATATCTAACACTTTACATAGAATAAAATATTTACTTAGATAATATTAAAGGCTTCAAATACATGGAGAACTTTTTATTAGCGAAAAAATAATGTTAGATAGGCAGAGACTTCTTTTTAGAATGAAAGTTTGTAATTCAAGCTAACAATTTCCAAATCAGTCAAAGAATGACGTCAATTTTCTGATTTGATAGAGGACATTAATTTTATCAAAGGTTAATTTATACTACTTTTTTTTTGTTAAAAAATCAAGAAATATGTCTCGTTTTTATAGAAAGAATTCTGAAAACCCACATTATTGCCTGACAATTTGGGGTTCCAATCAAATATGACTGGTATTATTCACAAATCAGTAATCCTAAACAGCAGTCTTTGATTACTGAAATGTTGTGAAGACAGAAATTAAATTCATTTTAAAGGTGCAGGTAAACACGGTCTTGGTCGGATATTTTTGTCGCCGACTAGAATCTTGTCAAGAGTTTCACCTACTGACACAGGAACACAAGGTGACAAAAATCACCAGTCGGTCATTTTCCACCTTGTCAATAATCAAGTGTGGAGTATGGAATTGAAGGAAAATTAATCTGATTGGAAGATGACCGTCTATCTTGCAGACGATAAAACTATCAGAGACAATTATCAAACTTGATATTATAAATCCTGTCAGAGACGTGATAATCTTGTCGTAGAGGCACGAGCACATGCAAGATTTTAATCAAGACTCTAATCGGCAACAAAAATCTCCGACCGAGACTGCTTATGTGTCCGCACCTTAAAACCCACATCAGACTGCAAATGCAACCAAGCAACAGCACTAATAACTAGATATAAGATTTATTCTATATTCCCTGATACTTAATGATAATTTTTGGCTGTTTAAAATGAATATTAGTAAAAGCAGTTTTGCAATAATAATGAAGAAAAACTTTGGTTTTTAATAAAAATATATCATCTTTAGCATATTAATAACCAGATTGTCCTTGAGAAATTATAATTCTCTTCTGTTCATGATATGAAATGACTAACATCTTATCATGGCTATCTCACAGACAATAAGTTTGGGCGCTTATCTTTTACAATTTTTCACCATTAAAGTATATTGTCCCACTTTGCAGTGAATGAAGCATAATCGATGAGTTATTATCATGGCAACTGTCATAAAAATGAGCTGACAAGCGTAACTTTTAGGTGTCTGCGAGCAGGAATGACAGAGTTAGGGAGGCTCAGGCAAGGGGTGACCTAGATTAAAATCAAACAAAAGTCCATCAATATCTGTTAGAACTACCCTGATCTTTAGTTCACATATAACACTGCCCCCCTAATAGTATTATCTGAGAGTCTCTTTCAAGCCTGGGTATGAGTATGTTCATTGACCAAATCTTCTCAGGGACAATCTGGCCTTCAAAATTTAAAATATTAAAATCTAATCACTATCGCTATCATCGTAATCATCAAAATTTTCACCCTTGACAACTTCTGATTGATGGTAGCGGCCCCTATTGGCAAAATCTTCATTATCTTCTGTTAGTTGAGCTGCCAGTGTTTCCACTGCTGGTGTTCGGGGTGCAACGATAATTTGTTCTGGTGGAGTTGGACCCCTTCTGAAATAATAAAGACAAAGGTTTTCTAATGTAAGGCATTTAACTAGAAGGGTACAGTTGAAATTTAAAAACAAAGCAGTAATAAAACTATCAATATCAGCAACATTGTCACTGTCATTTCTTTTCAAGGGCCTTATTCTTAAAAACTCAACTTAAGAAATACAGTAATCTAATTCTAAATCGATATTAGTGATAGGACCAATCAGATGACCAAAAATCATTATAAGTCAATTTTTCCAGAGTAAGGCCCATCTCAGCCAGATAGGCCCACTTTTGACATATTTTTGTTATATCAAGGGCTGTCCCTTAGGAAATATTTGTCAGATCATACCCAAATTCGAACTTGCTAAAGATCTTCAACAAATTATTTTTTTTAAAAATCTGAAGAAACAAAAACTGGCCTCCATAGTGTTTATGGCCTTCATCACCTTCAGTAACCAATTGTGGACGACTGGATATTGTCTATCTAGTTTTCAAGACCAGGGAATATGGACATCTACTTTTAGACAAGTCAGACTAAATTGACACAAATCAAGAGGGACAACTTACCTACAACAACTCTGTAGACATTCTTTAATCCACTCATAGAAGTTAAACTCAGCAATACCTATGGTATAAAAATACTTAAAGATTGAATGTAGAATAAAAGCATATCAAGTCTAATGAATGGTCTCGCTGAATGAATAAAATGAAATTTTACATCCCATTTTCATTCTCTATATTCATTAATGGCAAGGAGAAATTAATTAAAAAATATTGAGAAATGTCATAAGCATACTCTTATTCAAATGTTTAGCAGAGATCATCTCTAAAAGTATGTTGTTTAAAAGAATTTTCTTTTTTTTTATCATCAATGCACCAGACAACTGTGTCAGGTAATAGCAACAGTTTCTTTTTTTTAATATCCAGATGTCAATTAATTACGTGCATGCAAAGTAAGTTCATAAAAATGATGGTCTATTCACCATCAAAAGACTTGACAGAATCTCAGCTTTATGTTACTGATAAGATCAAATAGACTGGAAGAACACTGAGAAATATTACTCACCAGGGAAATATCCAGGACTAGCTTGTCCAATATAAAAATAAATAGCAAAGAAAACAGTCAATTCTCCTAGAGCATACATCCACTGTATCATAAACAGTAACACTAAACATACTAGAGTCTGAAATATAAACAGTAACACTAAACATACTAGAGTCTGAAATATAAACAGTAACACTAAACATACTAGAGTCTGAAATATAAACAGTAACACTAAACATACTAGAGTCTGAAATATAAACAGTAACACTAAACATACTAGAGTCTGAAATATAAACAGTAACACTAAACATACTAGAGTCTGAAATATAAACAGTAAGACTAAACATACTAGAGTCTGAAATATAAACAGTAACACTAAACATACTAGAGTCTGAAATATAAACAGTAACACTAAACATACTAGAGTCTGAAATATAAACAGTAAGACTAAACATACTAGAGTCTGAAATATAAACAGTAAGACTAAACATACTAGAGTCTGAAATATAAACAGTAACACTAAACATACTAGAGTCTGGAATATAAACAGTAACACTAAACATACTAGAGTCTGGAATAAAAACAGTAACACTAAACATACTAGAGTCTGAAATATAAACAGTAACACTAAACATACTAGAGTCTGGAATATAAACAGTAACACTAAACATACTAGAGTCTGAAATATAAACAGTAACACTAAACATACTAGAGTCTGAAATATAAACAGTAACACTAAACATACTAGAGTCTGAAATATAAACAGTAACACTAAACATACTAGAGTCTGAAATATAAACAGTAACACTAAACATACTAGAGTCTGAAATATAAACAGTAACACTAAACATACTAGAGTCTGAAATATAAACAGTAACACTAAACATACTAGAGTCTGAAATATAAACAGTAACACTAAACATACTAGGGTCTGAAATATAAACAGTAACACTAAACATACTAGAGTCTGAAATATAAACAGTAACACTAAACATACTAGAGTCTGAAATATAAACAGTAACACTAAACATACTAGAGTCTGGAATATAAACAGTAACACTAAACATACTAGAGTCTGGAATATAAACAGTAACACTAAACATACTAGAGTCTGAAATATAAACAGTAACACTAAACATACTAGAGTCTGAAATATAAACAGTAACACTAAACATACTAGAGTCTGAAATATAAACAGTAACACTAAACATACTAGAGTCTGAAATATAAACAGTAACACTAAACATACTAGAGTCTGAAAAAATAATGAAAATTTCTGTTGATTAAAGCAGAAGTTTGCAACCTTTTTCTTTCTTTTACCCTTTCAGATTCCTTGATTGCTTGCTTTACCCCACTTTCCCCTATAAATCTTTACTATTTCATGATTTTCTTTTATGTTTTCCCTACAATCTTTTTCATCCCGGAAGATGTAGTCTGACCGAATAGAGCAACTTAAGTTATAATTATATTTTATGCTACATAACAAAGCATCTGCTTACCTCCATCCCCCAAAATTACCTCTTTGGAGATAATACCCTAAAGTTGAAAGCCCTAGATAATTCATAGCCTACACACCTCAACATAACCAAGCAAATGTAACCATAGCTTTCCTTAAAATTGTAGTCAGTGTTTTCCTGGCTCTAGCTAAGTGACAACTATCCAACTTACCCCAAATAATGATAACCATCTATTACAGAGTGCTGAGTACCAAGATCTGGGTTGCTTAGTAATTTCTGTATTTGGTGCTTTTTTCTGACCTGGTAATAAATAAATGAAAGCTAAACTTTATGATATTGGACCATTTTCAGAAAGTTATAAGCAAATGAAGTATAAAAAACAATGATTTCTTTTGACATTAATGGATCAAAAAGTGGATAAACCTATGATTTTATCATCTAGACTAGATGTGTATTACTAATGGTGACAGATTTTGCCGATTCAAGGGTAATAAACTGAGAAATTTGTGAACCTTTTCCATTAATGTCTTGAATTTTAAAGAAAAGTTAGACAAATGAACTCTGAAAAAAAAAGCTTTCACTACAAAATAATATTAATCCACACCCTACCTTCAATTAATTGACTTGTATCATTTAAATCTGTGGCTTCTGGAACTAATTTCTTTTTCGTGGCGTCGAAATCAGCTTCAGGCGTGGTGGCGCCACTGATAGTATTCCGACTGTCCTGCCGTCTCAGATGAGAATGTTGTCCTCGCTGGGACATACGCTCAGGAAATAATTTATCCAGATCGTGCCGGATATTCTCTAAAGAGTCTTTATTTTTTGTGACGTCCACGTTAAATAGTGTAGCACCGTAACCAACGGAGCCATTAGTGATGTCACTTCCTGTGCTAGATTTTCTGATATGACCATTTTGTTGAAATTTGGCTTCTCTTGTCTGTAGTAGAAAACATAAATAACAGGTTAATTTGTTTAAAAATCAAATGATTTAAAATTTCCTTCATACAAAGTAAAAGTTCCCTTTTATGTTCCGATTATAATTCAATAATAATATTTTATGAGGTTCCTCTTATCTTAGTTTATATATTAATTCAGACGAAAAAATCTCTAGAATTAGAAGGGGTGGGTGGGCAAGTGATTGAACAGCCAAGATTTGTAGTCGTAATTAATATCAATGATAGGTTTACTACCTCTAATAAAATAAGAGAATACATAATATATACTTATAAGTGAACTACAAGTAATCATTAGAAAATAATTTATT